TGGTTCAGCACCACGAAGGAGTCCCTGCCTCACCGCCCATCACCTCGCCACATAAGTAATACGCTGCAATGGAAAAGTACACATACATACAATGGAATTATTATTAGTACTCTTCTAATAACTTTAACGACATTTACATGAAGATGTTATAGTCATTTCATATAAACATTGTGAGCAACTTGTGCATTATTTATATTTACGGCATAAATAACATTAATTGAAGATCATTTCTTAGCACTTAGCAAATCTATCCTGCTATCATTTGTAAAAAACGGGACACTTGTCATGGCATTATATTATATTAAATCTTTCACGAAAATTACTAAGTTATTAGTAAACAAAATATGGTTTTTATATGCCTCTTCAGATAAAAGCTGTTAAAAGATTCGTGATAAAATTATAGATACGGTCATGTAAACAAAAGCTTTAATTAGGCACAATAATTATTGTAATGAGAATAACTTCCAAAACAACTATTAGGTATGTCATAATTACTTATTTATGCTTGTCTGGACTGAAATAAAACTGATATTTTCAGATTTACGACGCGTTTTTTAATATTTTGCCTATATACTCCCGACCTTTCTTTTACTTTGCAGCAACCGAAAATATTAGTTGTAATTCAATAAATACTGCCAAAGTCTTGAACTCATGCTTGTCTGGACCATTCTTGAGACTTTATTGATAAAAACAAAAGAAAATTAATACTTATAATATAGAACAGAGTATTAATACTTGCCAATACCAGCAACAATGATGTCAGCGTATCGAGGCAGGGCTCGAGCCTGCCTGCCTGCCTGCCTCGACCCGTCAGTTGTGTGATAGCCTAAACACATTAACATTCTATTTTAATTTACATACGAGTACCTTTATATCCGTAACATCAGATATCAACATCGCGTCATCTGCCAGATATTGTCGAAGTACTTCCAGAACTTGCGAAGGAACTTCTGGTATTTCTTCGCTTATAATATCTACGCCTTCCATACGCTGGAACATAAATTGGTTAGTAAACACATGCACCTATAATGTAATTGAAAAAGGTTTTTTTATTATCTCGAATGGATAGCGCTTGACTGTCATTCCACGAGTTGGAAGGTGGAAATTAAATCGATGCACTATACTGTTTAAATGTGATAAAAAATTATAATACACTTTTAAGCTAGTTTAAGTTTCAGTTAAATAAACAGCCGTTATAATTATAAGTTAAAAGATAAATAAATTAATATTGTTATTAAAATTGTGACACAAGGCAAAAATTGCAATTTCAGCCAATCAAAACTATTAAACAATACAATAGGTTGTATTCATATTATTAATAATGAGTTATGCTTACTGAATTTATCTTGAACAGATGAGCAGCGTATCTGAGCCGTAATGTGCTGCCTTGTCCCAGCTCGTCCCACTCAGCACTGCCACTGGCCAGCCTTCACTAACTTCTCCAGCGCTTCACTTTCTGAATCTGATTCTTTTGTTTCTTGTTGCATCTCTTCCCCCTCCTCTTCATAGTCAGCTCATGTACCTGGAATATTTAGAATAATATGTCACATCAACTAGCCTTCGTACAAACAACTTGATCCGAACTATACCAATTATCTTTGTATATACATCGTGTTAGTTACACTATTTATACGTCAAGAACGGCTGTACGGTTTGGCTGAAAATTTGTGGAGAGATAACTTAGAACAAGGGAAAGGACGTAGGATAGTTTTCATCTGATCGAAAAAGAAATAAATTGATAAAATACAAAATGCTCTTATTTACTGTCTTTAAGGTTGAATAGTTTTAGTCCGGTCAGTTATACATTTCTAATTCTGACACTAACGCAAACGAAGTCGCCGACAGGAACTAGTATTTAAATAAACATATAGAGTGTTCTATATTTTACAATATATTACTTATACAAACTATCAATGAATCACTTTCAGCATTATCTTCATCCACTCCATCGACAAGTGCCGCCCGAAGCTGTTCACCCACATCGCTCTGACCGATGGAAGCAAAACTGTAACAAATACGTATACATAAGGTTTACAAATTAAATATTTAAAAGGATTTTAAAACTATTTATTCAAAAGAAAATTATTGTATGTTAATAAAGAAAAAATAAGTGTCTATTTGCAAGTTACCAATACTTAAAAACCAGTGTATTTAGGTTTTATCTATCTGTCTGTTTATGTCAGTTTATGCTGAAAATTCCAAGAGGGTATACCTATTTTAATAATATTGAATTACCAGGCAACTTTGATACAAGGTACAATTAAGATTTTTATGACTCTCATAAACCTTTCAATAACCCTACTGCACTTGTGTACTGCATGTGTGTCATATTATTCAGTGAGCCAGCAGGTTTTCATTGTGAATCATGAATAAAACAACCAGTCATGTCTGGTTACATAATATCAGTGTTCATCTCACGTGTCAGCCAGTAGGTCGGCGGCCCTCCTCCTCTTGCTGCCCGTCAGCTGGTCCCTGGCCAGTCGCGCCGCCCCGAGTGCCGCTCGCTCCGCCAGCCCAGCAGCACCTGTACTGCCTCCCACCACTCACCCCTAAAAACAAACATTCCACTTGATATCCAGTCCATACTGATTCATATAAAGATACTAGCTGCGCCCCGCGGTGTTACCCGCGGATTTCCGGGATTGGAAGATGTAAAGTAGCCTATGTGTTATTCCTGGATGTTAGCTTCCTGTATACAAAATTTTATCAAAATCGGTTCAGCCGTTTGAGCGTGAAGAAGTAACAAACATACACACACACACTCCCAAACTTTCGCAATTATAATATTAGTAGGATGTATCTAAGACTATCCCGTGTATTCAGTTAACATCTCGCCTGCCCATGATCACGGTTGCTGTAATGTAACCGAAACGTCGGGAATATGTAGTTTTAAAAATATTATATAATGCGTAATAGTCCGTAAATATTAGCTTCATTTAAATGAATACTCGCGAGAATCTTAGATCTCATTATAATATATCTAATAATTTATTTTTTAATTATTTTTTTAATTTTGCTCATATCCAGAACATTTGTCAATAATAATACTTAACTAATAGGATTCTTAGCCAGCATTCTATGAATTTGATATATATACCAGCTTTAATAACGGATGCGACTTGAAAATAATTTGAGGCTGTCATCAATTCTTATTAGTATTTATGATTATTGTTAAAAGTAAAACGAAATCAAAAGAGAATAGAACTATGTTTGAATCTTGTTATAAATATAACGACTGGACGCACGACAGCGGACTCCAGATTTGAGAATTCAGAATTGATACTCGTAATTCAGAGTTCAGTGAGTGTGTATCATTGAAGTATGTTATTATGAAGAATCTTTGAGAAATACAGGAGCATTAAGATCAATTGAAGTTTCATTTTAAAATATCAGGGACCGTACTTGAAGAAGTGACATTTGCAACGTCAGCGAGGCTGGCGTCTCTCTCTCTTTAAAATCAACGAATGATAGCTTACCCTGTATCTCCTAGTCCTATATCAATTTGTTCAGCCTTTCTAAAGTGCCCTTCCTGTCGTATTTGTTGAGCGAGTGCTCAGTAAATATCTCTCGTGTCTTCTTCTGCCAGATGTGTAGCGGCAACACGTAGACCTTCCGACACTTTGCCCGCGGCGTTGTACGCTCCTACACATTTCACCACCATACCACAGGATGTGAGAACTCGTTCCGCTGTATCCCATTCCTGTAAATGTTTGCAAAAAAGATATTAATTGACATATGAAACCTACTAGAATAGAATAAAAATCGACCCAAACTTTGAATTCTAAAAATTTAATAAATTGATCGTGACGTTAAATCCGTGTGTAAAAGAGGAAATGAATAATTGAAAACATATTCGTTTACACCCTCATTGGATGTTTACATTTATATTTTTGTAACTATACACAATAACTAATACGGAATGAACAAAATCGAATTACGTTAATAACAATTATAAAAAAAATAATAACAACATATTTCTTTTGTTCATTATTTAATATGAGAAGATATAAAATGATCCCCCAACTGTTCACATTGCTCCCGAATTGATTCCTCAAGAATGGATTGATTTAAAAAAAATGTATATATAAAAAAACAAAACCTATAGCAAAATCTTATCTCATATCTTTAAATGAGCAATTCTTGTATATGTCGGATCGCCGAGTCCACTAGGGTCTTGTAATTCACTCTTATTTGCTATCTAACCACTAACACTTCACAAAACACTTCACAAAACACTTCACAACACTTTAAAGTCACTTCACTTCACTTTACTTTACTTTACTTCTTGCTTTTTGATTAACACATGAAATCGAGCCACGTGGATTTCCGAGGGTGCGTCCAACACTACGTCCAAATGAGCACCGCCCTTGCAGTGTGACTGCTGCAGTTTATATGCTTGCCCACTACTATGAAGTTGGCGCCTCTCGCAACCCCACTCGACAATCTAACTGACGTTAGCGTCGGCTCTTTATAATAAATTGAGTTACTTTTTTAAATTACATTCACAATATTAATCAACTAAATACAATCAAACAAATTAAAAGAAATAAGGAATACACTTAAAAACTTAAAATAATCTTAATCAAACAAACAAACAGCTATCACAAAATTACATAGTTCAAACGACATATCGTCAATGTATTGTCAAATGAATTGAGTATCTTCTCTTCAAATTCTTAACCTTTATCAACCAAATATAATCACTCAAATAAACGAAAACATTTAAATACAAACATGAAAGAAATGAAACCAATATATCAACTAGTTTTCCCAAAATAAGGCACTTTACACAACGTATTGTGCATACTCCGTCACGGCCATCCTGCAATATCTCACGTCCTCGTGTGTCTATGTGTGTCATCAGAAACTAAAATCAAATAATATTGGTATTTTTTTAACGCTCGGCTATCCTGACTGAACTAATTAAATTAATTAGACTGTAAACATTATATCTCATCTAACTCAACACGAACTAATTATCTTTTATATGAAAATCAAAATCACAGTACAAAGATTTTAACATAGACTTTACATACGGGTTCGACAATATATAATCCACACAGATCTTTGTCAAGTTCACACAGATGCTTGACAAGATGTATACCACACAGATATTTGCCAAGTTCACACAGATCCTTGACAATATATAATCCACACAGATCTTTGTCAAGTTCACACAGATGCTTGACAAGATGTATACCACACAGATATTTGCCAAGTTCACACAGATCCTTGACAATATATAATCCACACAGATCTTTGTCAAGTTCACACAGATGCTTGACAAGATGTATACCACACAGATATTTGCCAAGTTCACACAGATCCTTGACAATATATAATCCACACAGATCTTTGTCAAGTTCACACAGATGCTTGACAAGATGTATACCACACAGATATTTGCCAAGTTCACACAGATCCTTGACAATATATAATCCACACAGATCTTTGTCAAGTTCACACAGATGCTTGACAAGATGTATACCACACAGATATTTGCCAAGTTCACACAGATCCTTGACAATATATAATCCACACAGATCTTTGCCAAGTTCACACAGATGCTTGACAAGATGTATACCACACAGATCTTTGCCAAGTTCACACAGATGCTTGACAAGATGTATACCACACAGATCTTTGCCAAGTTCACACAGATGCTTGACAAGATGTATACCACACAGATCTTTGCCAAGTTTCACACAGATGCTTGACAAGATGTATACCACACAGATCTTTGCCAAGTTCACACAGATGCTTGACAAGATGTATACCACACAGATCTTTGCCAAGTTCACACAGATGCTTGACAAGATGTATATCACACAGATATTTGCCAAGTTCACACAGATCCTTGACAATATATAATCCACACAGATCTTTGTCAAGTTCACACAGATGCTTGACAAGATGTATACCACACAGATATTTGCCAAGTTCACACAGATCCTTGACAATATATAATCCACACAGATCTTTGTCAAGTTCACACAGATGCTTGACAAGATATATCACACAGATCTTTGCCAAGGTCACACAGAATCCATGACAAGATACATCACACAGATCTTTGCCAAGGTCACACAGAATCCTTGACAAGATGTATACCACATAGGACTAGAAAAAAGAGGATAGCTTTCACATATGACTGCGGCATTTAAGAGATCACGAAATTTTTCTCTTACAACCATTCGTTCATCTATGTTCAATCTATAGAGACGACGTTGAACAGTGAGATTTGGATTAATTAATTTTATTTCTAGTTGGCCTGATGTAACTCTACTTGTGGGGACACCTTCAACAAAATACTTTGAATTTCTGCCGACTTCACAGTATTGCATGACTTTAGTGTTATTAATAACTAGTAAACCCGCAAATTATCCGTTACATTGAAGTGGTCCTTCGTAAACCACATTTATCTTTTTTTTTTTTTTTTTGGTCTAACTTTAACACAAACAAAGCGGATGATTTCCAAACTCGTGAACACGCAAAATATAACGTCCATGTGAAAAACAATGATTTTCTAAATTTATCCCGCAAATACTAAATGGTTTTAAGAGTTCAAACTACAAACAATACCGGTTTGTCACATGAAATTAACTGAGCAGAGAACAATGAGTAGCTGTCGAACAATGTATCATGAACCGGCGCCATCTACTTAAAATATTGATTTGTCGTACATGTTATGCTGTATATGAAAAACAAAAAGATTTTCCCGCTTTTCTGTTAATTTTTATTTATTTTTTTTTTTTTTTGTTATAAACCTCACGGAGCCCGAGACCTTTCCAACGAATGTAAAACGCCATTCCATATCTGTCATTATACATCAATTGCATGGCTGTCAATTGTGTTTCGTTATTCCACGTTTAATAGTTACTGACGTTTCACGTCAAGTCCCACGGGAATGCTCAAAAGGGATGAAAAATCAAATCCTATTGCAATTTCCTGGCTCTAAACTACCTCCCTGCCAATTTTCAGTAAAATCGGTTCAGCCGTTCTTGAGTTATAAGTGGAGTAATTAACACTACTTTCTTTACTAAAATATTATTAGGAAGTGACTGATCAGGAACAACGTGAAACAATAACTCAATGTTGTAGTTTTGGATCAATACCGTTGACAAAATATGTAAGTGACACACTAAACTTTTGTTATCTATACCTTCCAAAACGACAGTATTATGATATCAAAATCAAATCAAATAATCAAAATAAAAAGGAAATCTCTCACCCAGATTATAAAGGTCTCCTGAAGCAGGACTGACGGTGCAGATATCTAGCCGCCGTTTGATCAGATCTGGTTGTTCAACAGTTTTCCCAGATTTAGTTGGACACGTAGTCGCTACGTGCCCTGGTTGTCCACATCGGTAACATATGGCAGTCCTCTGTGGCGGTACTCTTCGTTGCATCATCTTTGGGCGCCCTCATATAGTTTACCAAATCAAGCATGTAACGATGTTGTAAATGAAAAAGTTCCCTCCATTTGTTGCGTTCGGATTGGAGAATTGGACTCCAACTTCGAGTGTGCGTATCTGGGTGACTCCCAACTTCTGATGTCGGATCGCCGAGTCCACTAGGGTCTTGTAATTCACTCTTATTTGCTATCTAACCACTAACACTTCACAAAACACTTCACAAAACACTTCACAACACTTTAAAGTCACTTCACTTCACTTTACTTTACTTTACTTCTTGCTTTTTGATTAACACATGAAATCGAGCCACGTGGATTTCCGAGGGTGCGTCCAACACTACGTCCAAATGAGCACCGCCCTTGCAGTGTGACTGCTGCAGTTTATATGCTTGCCCACTACTATGAAGTTGGCGCCTCTCGCAACCCCACTCGACAATCTAACTGACGTTAGCGTCGGCTCTTTATAATAAATTGAGTTACTTTTTTAAATTACATTCACAATATTAATCAACTAAATACAATCAAACAAATTAAAAGAAATAAGGAATACACTTAAAAACTTAAAATAATCTTAATCAAACAAACAAACAGCTATCACAAAATTACATAGTTCAAACGACATATCGTCAATGTATTGTCAAATGAATTGAGTATCTTCTCTTCAAATTCTTAACCTTTATCAACCAAATATAATCACTCAAATAAACGAAAACATTTAAATACAAACATGAAAGAAATGAAACCAATATATCAACTAGTTTTCCCAAAATAAGGCACTTTACACAACGTATTGTGCATACTCCGTCATATATATATTTATATATTATGGGAATCTCGGTATCGGCTCAAACGATGGAGATAAATCGATCTAGCTAGGAATCATTATCATCATTAATCATTTAGAAAATGTTATTTTACGTAAAAAAGAATAAAAATTTGTCGTTTAAAATATGACGCTCCCTGACATCTAGTGGCGAATAGTAATACTACTTTTTGCTACTTGCTTTTACTAACTGCTTTAACGACACAACAGCAGATGGCGTTGTTGATTACCAGGAAGTCAACGAATGTTTGCTTTAAGGTTATTTTCTGTCTTTTTATCGTGTTGAATTAAAAATGATGAATCCTTAATACCCAGCAAAGCTCAGTAACCAGTAATTATTAATAATACCTGTACAATTTGAAGAGCTTTTTTATAATGATGTGCCTTCAGAGCCGCAGTGAGAGCATCAACGGTTCGAGCAGCCTCTATGAGATGAGGTACAGCGGCGCCCGCCTGTCGCGATGATACAAGCCACGCGCCCCACTCTCCTTCCAACCTGGTCACTTCACCGGGACAGGCCTGAAGAACAACAAACGATATAATAAAAATTATAAACAAAATTTCTAATAAACAACACTGACTTCTCTTGCTATTTGAACGGCTCTTGCGTAGTTGTTGCCTCTAGAATAGTAATCAACAGCAGTTCTGATATCACCTTTACGCTCGGATATTTCACCAGCCATTTCCCACCATTCCTCCTACAAAGGAAACAAATTGTAAAGTTCATAATCTATGTCTCTAATTAGTGAATCTTAAGTTTTTAAAATGTATAGTAATATGCAGGAGTTACAGTATAAGAATAAATATTAATGTTTGAGACAGTTATATTAAAAAAATATACTTCTGCTATTCTTTGTTAGTTAAATGCATAACCCTCGTCTTTAACTTGCATCATTCACATTTACATTATCTCTTCAATAGTACAGGGTGGGCCAAGAATTCGTTAACATTTGAAATAATCATTTAAAGAAAACTATTTGACAATTTTTAAAAATTGTTTTATTAAAAGAAAGCTAATGAGTTGGAAATTATTTTTTAAAAATCATATCATCTAAATGACTACCATTTCGATTTTTACACTCTTCTAAGCGAGTAACGAAATTTTCGAATACTCGTCCGCACAGAGACCGTGAGATTTTTTCTTTTAGTTGACGTTGAGTTCTTTTAGTGAGTCCAACAAGCGGTATCCCCACAAATGGGTACACACTTCACTGGCATTTTTATTTAGCTATCTGATAATGGATCCATTTCCTTCCCTATTTTTTTTATCTATCTGATAATGCAACCTTCACCTGTACTAGTTGATGGCTGGCAGCTCGTCTCGCCGACCACCCTTCACCCACACACGAACCGCGCCTCGCACGTCACCTGACGACCTGTACCAACACAATAATACTTTACTAGGGCAAATAGATTATTAGTGTTATTCTAACTAAGATAATATATATATCAATTAAAACTGATATAAGATTTTACAAATATTTTTTTGCAGCGCGGAAAATTTTTATCAATCTTAAATTATATTCTGAACAGTTATAATTTTTGCACCTGTTGACGTGAGATATTCCATGTATTGCTGCCTGAGTAATGTCACCGCTTGTCTATCGACTTGTTCAGCGAGGGCGATGGCATCTGCCCATCTATTGAACTGCTTGTACATATTAATGGCCAATTCTGGCTGAGCGGCTCCACGTACGTAGTATTCTTCGGCGGTGGTTAAGTCCCCCACAAATATTGCTAGACGTGCACGAACCTCGAGACTCTTTAAACCTATGCATTATATTATAATCACGATTAATAAAATAAATACTATTAATACAATAAGTGCGTACTTAAAGAAACAGATATATGAGCTGTTCCCGAAACGTTTAAATGCAAAAAATACCTTCATCAATATTCCCGTCTCCTTTGGTTGAAGCCAACTCGAAAGTTTTCTCTAGATAAAATGTTCTAGCTTCATCACCCACTGCTTTATAGCATTTCGTCGCCAACTGAAAAAAATATATCTGTTATGAGATACTAAAACGTTTAAATGTTATAATATATATATATTAGTCTTTCTCTAATTTGAGCAGTGAGGAATATACAACCACAACTGAATGGCTAACACTTAACCAAACATAACTGTTTTTCGGTATCAGGGTTATCCAATCTAATTGAACCTAACGTTAATGTAATTAAAACAATAATAAATTTAAGTAGTTATTCTAAAACCATTGGACAATCTTTATTTCTACCATATATACATGGTCGCTCATAGGTAATGTCGATTCATATGTAAAAATTTCAACGCATCCATTTAAATTTGTTGGAACTTCTTAAATTTATCTCTAGCTCTACAAACAGTACAGTAATTTTACTTTCTTTGAATAATTTTCTGTTTGTTTGTTGATGAACGACTACGTTTTGATAAAATAGTGGACAGGTGATGCAAATGTATGAGGTTTTGTTGAAGGAAAATTAAAATTACCGAAACCGGTTTTTTTTTTTTCAAGACAATTCTAAACCATAAATGACGAAAGTAACGCAGAATACGATCAAAGAACTTAGTGATACTAAATTCCTGCAACATCCGAAAT